GTCAACGTAAATGCTCAGTCAGGAGTGGAGTTATCTTGTTCGAGGAATAGCAAGAATGCATTATCATTCCCATTAATGTCACTGGATTATAGAATATGTGCAGAGTATGTAAGATAGAAGAAGACTGGAAAGGTAGAAAGGGGCCGAGTTACGAAGGGCTTCGAATGCCAAACAGAAGATATTATATTTGATCCTGGAGGTGATAGGGAGCCCTGGAATTTATTGAATAAGGGGGTGACATGGTCAGACCACTTCAGGAAGATCACTTTGGCAGCTTAGTAGAGAATAGACTGTATACCAGCCCTGTGCCAGCAGGATAAGGTACTGGATCTTTCTTGAACTAAACTGCCAAGCATTCAAACTCTACCGTAGAGAGTACAATTCTGATGGACTGGCCATGTTGTTTGAATGCCAAAGGTACACTTGCCTAAAAGACTGTTTTACAGAGAGCTCTCACAAGGCAAGTGCTCACATGGTAGTCAGAACATGTGATACAATGACACTCTCAAGGTCTCTCTGAAAAACTTTAGAATTGATTGCATGACATGGGAGACACTGGCACAGGATCACTGGCATGGCATGCCCTCAAAGAAGGTGCCGTGCTCTATGAGTAAAGCAGAATTCAAGTAGCTCAAAAGAAACGTGAGATGTGCAAATTTAGAGAATCCACCCCAAATGTTCCCATGGACTATTTGGGCCCCACCTGTGGTAGAGCATTCCAAGCACGTATTGGTCTGATCAGCCAGTTGGATACTCTGTAATTTGACTCTTAACATAGTGTTATCATTTTGGTCCTCTCTGAGAATGAAGGACAATAACCAACCAACCAACCAGACGATGGATTAGAGATTATCCTAACTCCCTCAATTTACAGGCCCTGTTCTCAAAGAGCTCAGAATCTAATGGGACAGACAACATGAAAACAGGTATGTACAAACAAGCTATATACAGGATAAATTGGAGCTGATAAACAAAAGGACCTTCATACAACCTGCCCCAGTTGGATTTACCTTCTCAATTATATTGGGAATTTAAAATATCAGGTTTCTCAATGCTATGAGAGCTTACAATGGCACTATGACTTTTGGGACACTGTATTCTTGGGATAACTGCATATAATTTTATACAGTATCCTATCACCAAAGAGGTAAGACATGATGTGTTCTTTGATTTGGACTCACATTAATCTTGAGAGGTAGTCAAGTGTTAAGTATTTTTCATTAGCAGTTAAATAACTACACCAAAATCAGACATTATAGGAAAAGAAGACCTTTATTTATAGCACTTTATTTCTTATTATGTATGAATGCAAGGAAGATGCCATCATTATTCCTCCCATTTTTCACATAAGGAAATTAAAGCTCAGAGACTTGGTCATGCCTACACAACTAGTAAGTTTGGAAATCGGGATCCTAACCCAAGTCTTGCAGTCCCCAGGTCCATTATGAACCTAGAAGAACTTAGACTCACACCCTGGTTTTTTGATAGCTCATTCATTCTTCTAGATGGTTTTCCTGCCTTAAACAGAAGAATAGGTATTAAATACTTGAAACCATGCTTAGATCAAACTCAGTTACAGAAAATTTTCAGTGCTTTCAACATCATCTAAATGTCCTATAACATTTAGATATCACTAATCTAGCGATTACATGACTAAAATGGATATAGTTTTCAATTTGGTTTTGTCCACGAGATACCAAAATTAAAAAAGAAAAGGGTTGCATTCACAAGTTCTGCTTTTGTTAGGGTTTATGTTTAACTCACTTCCATTTCCAGGAGTAGACTCTTCTCTGAGCTAGTGAAAAGAGTGTGACCCTGGACAACTCACTTAACCTCTCAACCCCAGTTTTATCATCTGTAAAAGAAGGGTATCATCAATCCCTGCCTCACAGGATTGAATGGCATAATATACATAAATATACGTTAACTGCTTTGCAAACCATTAAGAACTATATAGTTACTTATCATCATCATCATGGAATCTTCTTTTCCTTGATTAGAATTGTGTAGGCAAGAATTATAGCTTTAACACTTCTATGATGTGTATATTTCATAATCACTTTACACTCAGTTCAAATAAAAAGAGGAAGGATAAATATGGTTAATTTCTATGTCAAAACTGGATCATACTTAGATATATGGTACAAGTATGCATTTGAACATGCAAAGTTATGAAATAAATGGCACTGTGGTCATATTTATTGACCAGGTAAATATCTTGGGACGATTTCAATCAAATGATTTGTTTAAAAAATGTAAAATTTCACCACCCAATTTATTTCAAAAATTGTTAAGAGATTGATGATGAAATTTTGTTCACTAGTAATAATAATAATAATAATGGCTTACATTTCTATAGTGTTTTCTGGATTTCAAAGAAAATATACTCCTGAAAACAGCCTTGTAAAATAATTAGTATAATGCTGTATCTCCATTTTACAAATGAGAAAACTTGGAGCTAAGAGTACATAGTTCCATGAATTTTCAAGGATCACACCAACATTAACAGGCAGAGCCATAATTAGAACTAAGGAAGGCCTTCTCACTCTCAAATCACACCACACTATGATAGATTTTAAGAATTACCCAAGTCAGGGGCAGCTAGGCACTACAGTGGATAGATCACTAGCCCTGTAGTCAAGAGGACCTGCATTTTACTCTGGCTTCAGATACATACTAGATGGGTGACCATGAGCAAGTCATTTAATACTCATTACCTCCAAAAAAAGAAAGAAAGAAAGAATTACTGAGTGACTGGATGCACGTGCCTATTATTAAATTATGTTGTATCCTACATATGCATATAGGCATATGTTGCATATTCCAAAAGAACATCAAGCCTTCTTTGGATTATTTTTTTTTCCTTGCATTGCTTGTACAGTGCCTAGCACATAGGTCCTGAATAAATGCTTATTAAATGAATTAGTATGTGTATTCTTAATGTAAAATCATCTACCTTGCTCTATTTTTATTCTTAAAAGTCTTGAGCTGGATACATCTTAACATGGCAGTGCAACACAATGTAACTTACATATTGAGGTGGCAGAAAACAAATCAGAAATTGTCTTATACAAACACTTTTTAAAGGTATCTAACTAGGAGTCAGCGAGGTGGCGCAGTGGATAGAGCACTGGCCCTGGAGTCAGGAGGACCCAAGTTCAAATCTGATCTCAGACACATAATACTCACTAGCTGTGTGACTCTGGGCAATTGCCTCACCCCAAATGCCTAACCCCAATTGCCTCACCAAAAAACAAATTAAAAAATAAAGGCATCTAAATAAATTGGTTGAATTTGGATGGGGAGATGATCTGGGAAGGGGGGAACCAGACTTGGGATTTCACTGATACAGAGAATTCCTAGTGAAGAAACTTCTTAATTAATGAAGATCAACATCACTCTGCAATGCGTGGGGCATTGAGAGATGAAGTGATGTGCCCAGGGTCACACGTTTCTAGAACTGGAAGGAAATTTAGGGGCAATGTTGTCCAGCTCCCTCATTGGACACACAGATCAGGAAATTGAGCCTGGTCAGTTTGCGTCAGAAGCTGGACAAGATCGCCTCTCTCTCTGAGTCTGAGGCCAGCTCTCTCTCTCCACTAAACCACACTAGCTCTCAAATATGTAGTTATCTAATTTCAAATAATATGATAACTCTACTCCCTTCTCAACTCATACCTTTTGCAGCTCTTATAGAAAAAAATATTTTGCAATAAAATTTTGCCATGAGATCCTTACTCGGGGCGAGGGGGGCGCCTAAATGTACAACTACTCAGCTCTGACGCTATTCAGAAAAATGTTGATGTTCTTGCAAAGTAACTAAACTCTTAAACTAAATGAGTAATTTTTCAATGAGAAAAAATTGAAGAGAAAAAAAATCCTTCCTAATTGTTTAGAGCAAAGGTGACCAACATTCAGCCAATCGGCTACATGGACCACACAACACTCTCAGGGAACCAGATTAAAATGTTTTACAAATAAATAAAAATACAATAAAACATAGATAATATTACATTTTAAAACTAAGTTAATATGTGGCCAGCAGGAATCCTTATGTATGGATTAGTGGCCCCTTTTTCTATTTGAATTTAAATTTAAATTTGAATTTGAGGCCATTGGTTCAGAGCATTAGAAAATGTTCCAAATTTAAATGACTGTAAATTAGACTTTCAAGGACTTCAGTTGATTAGATATAGTAGAATGATCTGATCTGAACTTGGGTCCTCCTGACTCCGGGGCCAGTGCTCTATCCACTGCACCACCTCGCTGATTCCTAGTTAGATATCTTTAAAAAGTGTTTATATAAGACAATTTCTGATTTGTTTTCTGCCACCTCAATATTGAAGTTACATTGTGTTGCACTGCCATGTTAAGATGTATCCAGCTCAAGACTTTTAAGAATAAAAATAGAGCAAGGTAGATGAATGAAATCAAATAGTTACTTGTGGGGGGGGGGGGACTAACTTAGCAACTATTCATCTTTGACACAATTCAGAAAAAAAAGATGATATTTTTGCAAAATAATTAAATTCTCAAACTGAGAATTTAAATTAACTCATTTTAATTAGTTAATTAATTCAAAGTCTTAAATGGACAGAGTTTGTACACCATTGTTATAGTCTGAGAATTCTAGATTCCCTCCCTAGCATGATAAGGTCCTGAGGGTGGAGTCTAAGGGAAGAATGGTAGGAGGAAGAGGTAGGAGGATCTCTGGAAGGCGATCCACTTTGGATGGTAGGTATGTTCTGGATTTAGCAAATCCCAAACTACTGGGGACTTGGCCCCTTCTTTATCATGGGAGAATTGGGGGGGGGGGTCAGCATTAGGACCAAGGGAGTTTGGTCTGGAAGGACCAATAATACAACAGAGGCAGGTACAAGGGAAGGCCTGATCAAAATCTCAAAAACACAACTCAACTCAACAACACAACTAAAAGTCAGAGCAAATGAAAGGAAAAAAACAAAAACGAGCAAGCAAAAAGCATGTGCAAACACCACGTGTATTTTAAAGCAAAATCTAAATACAATTCAATAATTTTAGAAAAGTATTCAAAAAAAACCAACATTCAAGTTCATCCTACATCATCAAGGCCCGCTGATTTTTCTACTCTCAGCAGTGGAGTACATTTCAGTGTAGCTGAAGGTAGGGTTATCAATTCCACCATCTTCCTTTGTGTAAGATTGAGGGTTTAAGATTAGTTTCTCCTAAAAGAAAAGTTAAATGATTACATCAATATTACAAAGATTGTTGGTTTTCATCTGTGTAGGTATTCCATTCTCTAGTGCAGATTGCAACTTCTATATGGAGTGGTATGCTAGTAAATGTTTAACAACCTGCTCTCCAAAAAAATTTAAAAGTACCAATGCAAGCTTTTAAGTTTAATCTGCATTATTAACACTTTCTGCAACACTTTTTTAAAAATTAATTTATTTTTAGTTTTCAACATTCACTTCCATAAGCTTTTGAGTTTCAAATTTTCTCCCCCTCCATCACCTCCTCCCTTCCCAAGATGGTGTGCAATCTGATATAGGCACTACATATACACTCCTATTAAACATATTTTCACATTAGTCATGTTATAAAGAAAAATTAGAACCATTACATTCATATACCACAACCTGTTCAGCCATTCTCCAATTGATGGGCATCCCCTCAATTTCCAATTCTTTGCCACCACAGAAAGAGCTGCTATAAATATTTGTGATTATGTGGGTCCTTTTCTCATTTTTATGTTCTCTTTGGGACATAGCCCTTGAAGTGCTATTGTTGGGTCAAACTATGCCCTTTGGGTATAGTTCCAAATTGCTCTCCAAAATGGTTGAATCAGTTCACAACTCTCCCAATAATGCATCAATGTTCCAATTTTCCCACATCTTCCCCAACATTTATCATTTTCCTGTTTAGTCATGTTGGCCAATCTGATAGGGGTGATGTGGTACCTCAGAGTTGTTTTGATTTCTGCAACACTTTCTTAAGATAATCAGCAAGAAATAAAACCCCAATTTGTAGTGCCTGTGAATTTCCAAGGGATAAGTTCTTACATTGAAAATTTAAACCAGAAGGAACTGTCTCTAGCACATCTCTGCCTTTATGCACTTTAATATGTGGTCTCTGTGAAGGGCTATGACCACAAAAAATCACGTTCACCCTTCTGGTGAAGCATCTCTTTGAATGTAACAAGGCTGGCCTTGGATGACAGAAAAAGAAAATCTGACAGCAAAACATACTCAAAGTCATTCCAGAGGGACAATTTAAATTGTGAAATCAGATAGTTACTTGTGGGGGGGGGGACTAACTAAGCAACTATTTAAATTAACTCATTTTAATTAGTTAATTAATTCAAAGTCTTAAATGGACAGAGTTTGCACACCATTGTTATAGTCTGAGAATTCTAGATTCCCTCCCTAGCATGATAAGGTCCTGAGGGTGGAGTCTAAGGGGAGAATGGTAGGAGGAAGAGGAAAGGAAGCTGCATATACACACAATTTCATATTAAGATGTTCCACTTCCTTTTTTATAGTATTTTAAAAAATGTTTCCAATTACATGTAAAGAAAGTTTTCAACATTCATTTTTTGTACCTTTTTTGGGGTTTTTTTGCTGAGGCAACTGGGGTTAAGTGACTTGCCCAGGGTCACACAGCTAGTGTCAAGTGTCTGAGGTCACATTTGAACTCAGGTCACCCTGACTCCAGGGCTGGTGCTCTATCCACTGTGCCACCTAGCTGCCCCAAACCTTCACTTTTATAAGATTTTGAATTCCAAACTTTTTTCTCCCTCCCTCCCCTTACCTCTCCCCAAGATGGCAGGCAATCTGGTAGAGGTTATACACATACAATCATACTAAACATATTTCCACATTAGATGCTCTACTTCTTTTAGAAGTTCCTTAAATTCATTTCCTATTCTAATAACGGAATAATGCAGAACAGACGTATCATTAAATATCACAAGTTATTTCATGAAGAGATATTCCCTCTACATATAATTTGGCCACCCCTTAATTTATTGGGGAGAGAGGTCCAAACTTGTGCTTTTATTGGTGCGAGGGATTCTTATTGAAGAAACTCCTTCTACCAATTCAGATCTTCAGCTGCTCTGCAATAATAGTTTTAGAGACCTGCCTGGGCCACTGAGAGGGTAAAAGACTTCGCTAGGGTCACACGCCCAGCATACATCATAAGTCCATGTCTTCCTGTCTCCAAAGGTGGTTCTCTTTACTATGATATACCATGTGTTTCCACGCGCTTAATATATGATTTCATAAGTCATTCTGATTGAAAAAAATCATCTGATGGCCAACTTTTTTTTTTTTTTTGGCAATTGGGATTAAGTGACTTGCCCAGGGTCACACAGCTAGTAAGTGTCAAGTGTTTGGTCTGAGGCCGGATTTGAACTCGGGCCCTCCTGATTTCAGGGTCAGTGTTCTATCCACTTCACCACCTAGTTGCCCCTATGGCCAACTTTCTAATGATGAAATAAACTTGGCTAAACTGGTACTTGGACTCTAGGCACCAAGCGTTCCATTATTAATAGAATTTGCCTGAGCTCCCATCCCGCTGGCATTGTCTTTAACCTCTGAGGGTCACCTTCACTTCATTAGAATGAAACTTTGATGGAAATATCAGAAGATCAGTAATCGTTTCTTTTCCCCATATTTCCAGGGGGAAAAAAACTATGACATGATTACCATAAAACGCAGGTATCTGTGTAACAAAAATGAAAGGCAACATACCCTCTTGAAAAAGTCAAAGTTGGATAAAAAATCTTCTTTGGTTAGTAGGAATCTATCATCTAAACTCTGCTTTCTTCCTCCTGAAAAACATAGACGTTGTTTGCATTTTAGAAAACATAATTGCAGTTAGTCTGTGAAACAAAGACAATTTTGACTTTCTAATCCAAAAGTAAATCTGTAACTCTTAATTAAATCTAGTGGTTTTGCAGCTTTTAATGTGGATGCTGGGACACATGGCATGCCTTTCTAAATACTAGAGAGAGCACAGGCACTTCACAACAGTGTTGCCTAAAGTTCTAGGGTAACTTAATGACTTTATTTCCCTAAACTCATGGGATAGTTAGAACCCTCTGAAGTCCTTGTGAATACTTTGTCTTTGGGTGCATGCTTCCAAATTATTTGCCCTCATAGAAGTTAAAAACACCACATCAGTGAACGTAATTTGCCCAGCAAGAATACTTTGTAACTGGTTCTTCTTTTCTTTTTCTTTTTTTTTTGTTGACATTTTCATAACTGTTGTTTTTACTGGTTACTTTTTTACACTTGTCTCAGAGACACCAAGGCTCAAAAAGATTAGGACAGAATAAGAAAAAATTTAAGTCGGTAAAATAGACAAGATCAGCTAGCATCACAGAATCACAGAGTTGGAAAAGACCTCAGAAGTCACCTAATCCAACCTTTACATGAAGTATGAGTCCTCTGTAATATTCCCAGCAAATCACTTCTCCCTCCTCAAATTTCTCCTGATGCTTTGGACTTCTCCCTTAGAGTTACCATATTCTAAATTGTATTACATTTATTTGTGTACATGTCTTATTTTGCCTATTACTATAGGTCATCAGTTTCTTGAAGTTTGGGCTGTCAGATTTATCTTCTGTATCCATCTTTCTGTACATCCTCATGTTCTAGTATTCCTTAAATTGCACTGAAATGTTCATCAAAACTAGAAGTTTGAATACCTTCCATTTCAGGGAACCTTATAAGGCATCCCATTTTTGAGTGATTTTACTTTTCAGAAAGTTTACTTATATGAAAGCCAAGGTCTCCTTCCCTGTTTTCTGCCCTCTGGGACCAAGTAGATAAAACTGATCCCTTTTCCATTGGACAACCCAAAATAGCCCCAGCTATCTTCTCTGGAGTTACCTACTCAATGAAAACATGAGTTAAATTTTCTCTATTCATTCTAAAAACACATTGATAATCTGGAAGCCCAAAAACTTAAAGGTGAAACCTTAGGTTCTGGTGGTTTATTTATATTCTGATTAATTCCACTGGCATTAAAGAGAAGCAATGCTTCAGGATTCCACTCCTCAACTGGAATTTTTAAAGCCAGGAAGAAGAAAGTTCTCACCTCCATAAATCTGAAGGCTACTCCTTTAAGATCTATTTCCTATATTGGGGTATGAAAAGGAGACTCCATAGACATTGCTATGGAGACTATATTTAGATTAAATGTTATAGGATGGTTCTTGTTGCTGTTGCAAAAATGGGAAAAGAAGAAAAATTACTTAGACTGTTACAAAAGGGCATTACAGGCAACCAGCCAACAGAAACCCAAATTCAAATACTTTGAAAGCTAATTTGTATTCTTACATTTGGTGACATTCTGGAAATGAATCAAAGGGATCATTGTACTCTGCCATAACTAGTAGCAAACATCAAATCTCATTGGAATGCCCTGTTTTCATCCTGTAAATATGTAATCTAGCAGGAAACAGATAAGTAGGATGCTTGTCTGAATGGCAATATAGAGGAGTGAATAGAGTAAGAAATGACTGAATGAAAAAGCATTTATGGTGCAGCTAGGTGGCCCAGTAGATGGAGCACCAGCCCTGGAATCAGGAGGACCCAAGTTCAGATCCGGCCCCAGACACTGTGGTGACCCTGGGCAAGTCACTTAACCCCAATTACCTAAAAAAAAAAAAAAGCATTTATTGAGCACTATGGGAGAAGTACTATCCCACATGCTAACAATACAAATAGAACAAGAAGACAGTCTCTTCTCTCAAAGAGATCACACTCTAATGGGGGGGGGGGGCAGCTATGGGGCAGATAGAAAGGTTCTAAGGGCTGCAAGGCAGATAACAAAACCAGCACTTCTTGGTACCCTCAGGCCACTCTCTGAGACCATAAGCTATTTGAGTTACTGATGTTCGTTGGTAGAGGGAGTTTCCAAATAGGAAGGCCCCTACATGGAAGAAATCCCAGTCCCAGAGCTCATTCCTGTCCCTCAAAAATCAAAGTTGTCTATACGAAGAAAAAAATGTAATAGAAAAAATTTTGGCCATTTATTCATGGTTTTCTTTATCATCCAATTAGATCATGGCATGGTAAATCATGCTATTTAATTAAAAAAAATAAGATTGAAGTGATCAGAGAATGTCGATTTGGTGAGGCACTTATTGTCCCCCATGCCAGTAGGCTCCCCTGTCTTATCTCTGCCTTTTGGAACCTTTAGCTCACTTCCATGATTGGCTCAAATGGCTTGGCCTCCCAGGCCAGGAGAATGTAAGTTCATTTGAGTCAGGACTGTCTTCTCCATATGTTTGTATCCCCAGCCCCTGTCACATAGTAGGCTCTTTAAAAACTGGTTAATGAATTGAAAAATATGCTTTTACAATGAGCCTCCCAATTATTAGCACTACCAAAGTTACCTTGTGTTTCCTTCATATGTACATCTATGTGCACATGTTTTTTGCCCAAGTAGACCATAAGCTTCTTGAGGGCAGGGCTGTTTAATTTTTATCTAAGTCTTCCTGGTAACAATCTCGATGCTTCCTACAGGGTAAGTGCTCAATAAATGCTTGTTATTGAATTGTCTTTTCTTAGGTTCTCCATTTATAAATCTCCCAACTCCATGATTTGGATTTCTTTTCCTGTTACTCAGAAGCCCACTTGTTATCCTGGAGAAACATGCACCCTTAGATCCACTCTCCTGATTGACGATTGACTGCCCAGACCCCTAGCTCAAGAGAGGAGCCAGCAATGCTCCACTATACTCCTAATTCCACTCTCTGGACTTGTTTTCCTACTCCTCCACAGCAGTCTTGCCCAATTCTTCCCTACCCCGCCTTTCCACCTCCTCTTTCTGTGTTGTCTCATCCCATTAGAATGTTGTCAATTATGTTCATAGTTTTCCTATCATTGAACCAGCCCAGCATTCTAGGTATAAACCCAACCTAGTCATAATGTGTGATTTCTGTGATATGTCAGTGTAGCTCCTTTGCTAATATTTTATTTGAAAATTCTGCATCAATATCATTCGGGATATTGATCTTTGGCTGTCTTTCTCTGTTTTGACTCTCCCTGGTTTAGATATCAAGACCATATTTGCATTATAGAAGAAATTTAATAGATCTCTTTTCCGTACAAACTGTTCAATATTGAAATTAATTGTTCTTTTAGTGTTGGTTAGCATTTACTTATAAATCCATCTAATCCCATGGTTTTCCCCCATTTGGGAATTCATTTATGGCTTACTCAATTTGTTTTTCTTATAGTGGATTGCTCAAATTCTCTATTTCTTATTCTATTAATCTGAGTATTTTTCACTTTTTAAGTAGACATTCGTTTCACTTAACTCATCAAAATTTTGGGTTGGTTTTTTTTTGGTGTATAGTTGTCAAAATAGTTTCTCAGAATAACCTTTATTTCTTCTTTTTTTTTTCATTTTTGATACTGGTAATTTGGTTTTCCTGTTCTTAAAAAACAGAATTAGCTAGGGCTTTATCTATTTTGTTTTCTTTTTTAAATAGCTCCTACTTTTATTAATTAATTCGGTTCATGCCTCTGAAATGTAAGCTTCTTATATTTTAGGTCAGGGACTGTCACACTTGCTTGTATTTGTATACCTGTTGCTCGGCATAGTATCTGGCATGTAGTCAGCACTAAATAAATATTTTATCTCATTGGAGAAAATAATTCATATGTTCTGCCAACAAAACTGTAGTAAAAATAATTAATACAAATGACTATAAATTGCCATGTAAATATTACCTCAAATGAACAGTAATTAGAAACAGGTACCTGTTAGGAGACTAATGATGATTCCCACAAATACAGTGACCAAAGTCCCAATGGTACTGAAGTGCATATATGATAAGGAATACCAATTATCCATTAGGGGAGTTCTAGAAGGGAAAAAAAGGAGCTTTGTTATTTGTCTGTGAGTCCCATGGCAGAGTGAGGCACAAGCAATGGACAGTCCAAGTATTCCCATGGAATCCATGAAATCTTAAGAGACTGAGAGAAAGAACTCTATCTACGCTTTCAGGGGCATGCCCCGGGGTAAAACTGATTGGTCAACATAGACAAAAGTTAACAGGACAAGAAGGCAGAGATCTGCAATGTTGTAGAGAATTCCAATGTAGAAAGGATGCCAAATCCATTAAAGTATTTAAGCATCATCAGTCTAAAGCATATGTTACAGGATTATAGATTTAGATGTACACGGGCCCTTCGACATTACTGAGTCTGGTCCTTTCATTTTACAGGATGAAACCTAGAGGCCTTACGTGATTTATCCAACATTACATAGTTAGTGAATGGCGGAGCAGAGATTTAAACCTAAGACTTCTGACTCAAAATCCTACAAGTTTCTCAGAAGTCTTCTCTCTTCCTCCTGTACCTTGTGTATTTGTTGGATTTTTTTCAATAACATTGTAAAACGTATTTCAATACCTTTCAGTACTATTAACTTGCAAAGTACTTGTAGAAAATGTCGTTTCTGTGGTTGTGGTCCAATTCCCCTGGTGGTGGAAGTCAGTCATGTTACAGCCATCGGTAGTGAGGCTCAAGGGTAAAGTCCTCTCCGGAAGGGGGGGATAGAGCTGAGCTCCAATTCCAATCCAAAGGGAAATGACAAATCCAGCAGTGAGGCCTATAAATGCTCCCTGCAAAACAGAAGTACTTTTGAGAGTCAAGAAATTGGTTGGTTGTTGTTCTTCATTCTCAAAAAGGACCAAAATGACATCACTATGTTGGGGTCAAGGTACAACGTGTCCAACTGTGGCTGATCAGACCAACATGAGCTTGGAAATCTCTACCACAGGTCAGACACTAATAATCCATAATGATATTTGGAGTGTAGATGTCTCTAAATTTGTGCATCTCACATCAAAAAATAGTTCTCTTTGGAAAGGAAAAGAAATGAGTGGGATATTGATCACAAAAAAAGGAACCTTTCTCACAAAATAGCTGTTCCAAAATGGAATGGTCTGCCTCGGGGGATAGTGGGTTCCCCCACACTAGAGGTCTGCAAGAAAAGACTTGATCACCATTCCTTGGGAAGTTTGGATAGGAGATTTTGTTGGATTGGCATGGATTGAACAAGGTAGTCTCTGATATCTCTCCCTTCCTGCTTGGAAATTCTTGCGAAGTATTGTGAAATTCAGCAGATGGTTAAACTGACTATATCCAAAAACAAACTCATCTTCCTTCTTTAACCAGCTGCTTCTCTCAAGTTCCTTATCTCTGTCAATGGCAATATCTGATCAGTCATCAGGCTCAAAACCTTGGTCATTGTTCAATATAGTTGGCTATCAACTCCCTAACAGTAGGGATGAAATTCATTTTTGTCTTTGTATCACAGAGCTTTCTAGAGTTCCTGGCCATTTATTAAGCACCAACTATGGGCCAGGCACTGTGCTAGATGCCTAGGAACCAAATGCTTCTTGAGTTATAATGATACACACAGATTATGGGGAAAACCTTTTATTGGTCATTATAAGGGCTCTAATTGTTACTGTAGGTAATGTTAGGAAAGGTATTTAACCTAATAGCCTCAGCTCTGTATCTGTAAAGTGGGGAGCTGAATCCTGTTTCAAAGTTCCTACCTCTGTGAACTTGAGAAAAATAATCCTTTAACCTCACATCGGTAAAATGGAGGTAATCAATCACTTCACTTATGTTGCAATTCCCTAGTCTGTAAAATGGGGATAATAATAATACCTATCTCCCAGAATTGTTGTGAAGCTAAAATGAGGTAACATTTATAAAGCACTTTGCCAACTTTAAAGCATTATATAAATGCTCAGTATCGTTATTATTATTAACATTGATACTACTATTTTTTCTTACTTATTCTGTAGGTTAGTTGTGAGAAACAAATGAGATATCATATATGAAAACACTTTGAAAAAGTAAGATTATTGTTGTTCAGTTGTGTCCGACTCTTTATGACCCCATTTGGGGTTTTCTTGACTGGAGTAGTTTGCCATTTCCTTCTCCAGCTTATTTTACAGATGAGGAAACTGAGGCAAACAGGGTTAAGTGACTTGCCCAGGGTCAGAAAGTGTCTGAGGCTGGATTTGAACTCAGGTCTTCCTGACTCTAGGTGAAGCACTCTATCCACTGTACCACCCAGCTGCTCTTGAAAAAGTAAGAAGCCCTTTACAAATGTAAGGCTAACTAGTGTCACAGCATTATGGAGAAAGAAGGCCTTTGACTTCCAGTCAAGTGATCTTTCCACCATTTCACAAATGCCATTGCTTGCAGTGAAATATTTCCACGATGACTTGCAGAGGTCAGAAGTATCACCGTCATTGACTTTTTTCCCCTCATGGAAATGCTGGACATTGAGGAATTTGTGACATCTGATCAAAGATCAGGGTTGTCGGACATGGTGGGAAGTTGGAGTGAGGCCCCTACACACTGTAGGGAGAGATTTGTGCATTGTGGCTAGTAGGGAGGTCCATGATTCCTTCCACTTTTATGAAGCTAACATCTTTTCCATTGACCAAATGTGAGAGATCTTTTAATATCATTTATTTTCATCTCGCTACCTTCTCAAATGGCCTTTAAGTGAGAGTACTCTTCAATTTCATTATTTATTTACTGATCCTTGAATGTCTTAGGAGGAAAGTAGAATTCTGGCCCTGAAATCAAATTCTGTGACTTTACCACTCCACCATGATACAGCTGTATATATAGGATAGGAGGAAGAGCCTTGGGTTTAGAAACAGAGGACCTAGGCTCATAACCTGGCTTTGCTACTGAGTTCCCATGTGAACTGGGCCATGAGGTACTTCACCTCTCAGCATCTCAGTGTCTCTAATTGTAATAACAAGGGGCTGAATTGGACGATGCCTGAGGTCCCCCACCAGCTCTAAATCCTTTACCCAATGTACTGAGTGAAAATCCTTTCTGTGATTTGATATCTGCCCAGACTTCATCTTATCCCAGGATAAAACTAGAGATTTGTCATAGATTGGTTGAAATAACAACTTAATTCAAGGTTAGACTTTACAGTTCTTCCCTACAAATCATGACATCACATCTCAGAATTTAGAAACTGAACATTAACTGTTTGAGGGATACCATCTCTATTGTTAAATGGTGGGGCCAGACTCAGGAAAACTTCCATTCAAATCCAATCTTGGACACTTATTAGTTCATAACCCTGGGCAAGTCACTTAACCTCGATTTCCTCAACAGTAAAATGGGGATAATTCACAGCATCTACCTACCAAGATTTTTTGAGAACAAAATAATATTTGTAAAGTGTTTTGCAAATCTCAAAGAATCATATAAATGCTAGCTATTACTTTCATCATCATCATCATCATTATCATCCTATGAGCAGCTGGACAGCTAGGTGGCACAGTGAATAGAGCACCAGGTCTGGAGTCAGGAAGAGCTGAGTTCGAATGTAGCTTGACACTTACTACTGTACGACCCTGGGCAAGTCACTTAACCTGGTTTGCCTCAGTTTCCTCATCTGTAAAAAGAGCTGGAGAAGGAAACGGCAGACCATTCCAGTAACTTTGTCAGGAAAACCCCAAATGGGCTCATGAAGAGTCAGACACAATGGAAAAATGACTGAATTGAATGAGCAGCTACTGATACTTAAAAGATAGAAAAAGAAGATGTGCAGATACAGTTGCTGTTTAAAGTGACAAATATAATTTCTGCTGGCTTTGTGCCTGCAGGACATCAGAATAAGGGAGGAATGGGAGTGGAAGGTATGCTGACCTGAGAGCCAGAGGACACGAATTAGAATCCACACTTGGTCACTTGCTACAAATGGAAGCTTGGGAAGGCTGACTCAGCACCCTAAGCTTCAGTCACCTCATCTGTGATGTGAGAAGGCTGGTCTAGATGAGTGCTCTCATACTCAAGTACAAAGAAAGGATCCCTGCAGGCTACAGACTGACTGAATTTTAAAATGTGATATTATCTATATTTTATTGTATTTTTATTTATTTTGTTAAATACGCTGCACATGGGAGTAGGGCTGAGTATTTGACACCTCCAGTTTATGTGATATCTAAGGTCCCTTCCAGCTCTAAATCTGTTATTTTATGATCCCAGTTGGGTCAACAAAAGAATTTCTGAACACCAAGAAAAGCCACCAACATGAGCTATTGTGGGTTACGTTTTTACCAGTGAGAAAAATTGCTAATGAACACTGTACTTTAGGGAAAGACCTTATGGTCACTTTTATCCTTTATACTTACCACTGAGTTGACAAAGGGAGCCAATATGCCCAGAGCAAACAAACCCAAAAGGGGCCCACCAATGATACCAAAGATACTGATAGCTGCCTAAGGAAAGAATAAAAAAGTCACAAATTAGTTGTAAGAGGCCCATTTTCAAAACAATTAGCTAGGTCTCCAATATGGAGAGAAAACAAGGGGAGAGATATACTAATAATGTGGCTTTCTTAAAACAGAAACAAAGAATTTTACGGAGTTCAGTGAACACAGGTGTGTTGGTAAATGTTTCCAAACAACTGACATACATACATGCTGTATATATATATATATATGCACACACACACATAAATATAATGTATTGTGAGAAACGAATATTTCTTTCTTGTATTTAATAACTAATTATTGAATCAGAACCAAGGTTTTCCCCCTTTTCTACTTCCCCATCCAGAAAGCAACCAGTGTGGGAAATCTCTCTTAAAGATTACCCCAGGCCAAGATCTAACCAGACAGTAAAAGAAATTCTAAGTTTGAGCTAATGCATATATTCCTGCTCACTGTGTTTGCTCTGACAGGTCTGGGGAAGTGTTGATTCTACGTTTTGTCAAGACAGGTCATACGGAAATTAATGTCTCTTTGACCAAGATTCAGGTATCCCAAGACCCTCATTTTAATATAGCCCACACCCCACATTGTGTTAACCAATCAGAGTTGAGTGGTACCCTTCAGGAACAACTGCTTTTTGAAGGGCATATAAACTGTGAGCCCACCACCACAAGGTGTCTTTGGTCTAAGAGAGATGGCCATACAACCATCCTTTTATTAATAAACATAGTGGCCTTATTAATAAAATGATTAAATTACCCAGAAACTATATCTACCAAACATTTTAATAGTCACAGTATATATTTATGTTATATATTAATTTATTAGTATGCATAATTTTATTGTTATTATATATCCTTATAATGATAATTTATATTATATATTCTATATAAATTGATACCACAAATTCTATGTAAATAATACAGACATACATACAAAACACATTTTTAGGTTTATTCTGCATTATTAACATTTTCTCCATCACTTCTTTAAGTCTAGAAATCAACAAAACAAATCAAGGCCTGATTTGTAGCTTTTGCTCATTTCTGAGGTATAAATACTCACATTAAAACTTTAACAATCAGATCTCTCCATTTGAGTTGACTTCAGCACACCTCTGGCAATGAATGAACCAGAGTAAATACCAAGTCTGAGAACAGGTTAGAGTAATTGGAGAAAAGATATCAATGACTAGCGCTGGTCACTATTTGTCAAATAGGGCCATTGTTAATTTATTTTGCTTCCTGTGATACTTAGCATACTTTGTCCCTTTTCCCCTTCACTATGATATCTATGCATAACTCTTGGTCAGTCAATCATCACTCTCAGATCCTAACTATAAATATTAGCTACACTACCTTCCTTTCTATTGAATACCTACTGCTCTATATCACGGAATCTGAATTTCAAGGGACCTCATGGCAAGGGAAGTTTATACTATGAATAAGAAGAGAACTCATTTAAGAAGACAGAATAGCCTGAAAATGTAGATCCTGAGAAATAGGTTCATAGTGACTGGAACAAAGTTGTGCTTAATAAATGCTGACAGGTGCCACTAGAATCAATGAAGATTATTTGGATATGATGGAGCTTCAGAAAATTTGACAAATGGTACAGTCTGGACAACATAGTATAGTGGAAAGGGCATAGAACTAAAGTCACACTGGCTTACTTACTATTCCTCATATACAATATACCATCTTGTGGTAGATGATTAATAACAACCTAGAAAACAATCCAAGATATGCTACTTATTAGCAAAGCTGGAATAACAAACACATCAATAGACTTCCCAGTCAGTCCACAGACCCTGAATAGAGTGAGACAGATTTTTATGTATTAAAAATAAATAAGACCAAATCATCATCAATTCATTCATAAGAGAACAATCAAAAGAATATAAGCCATGTGCAAAATTAGGTGATCTGATTTCTAATTGGAGGAAACATTAGAGGCTTTCCAAGTTGGTAGAGGGGAGGAGTGAGTTTTGGTCAAGTTGGTAGGAGGGTGAGTAGGTTTCAGGGTCTTTCTTTTCCTAGAATTAAGAGATGATGACTAATTGCATCCACCTGCATTTATGAAACAATGGATGCCTTATACCATCGAGTTTCCCATGGATGATTTGCAGAAAAACAACAAGACAGAGAATCATACATGTGGCAGCACGAGATGGAGCCAGCGTTCGTGTGACAGAGGCTAATTGGTTCTTTCATTTCCCACACCAAACCAACTCCATTTTGTAGCTGTTCTTCACTCTATCTTGTCACTCTCACAACTTTGTCACACAACAACTTTGGGCCTTTGTCCTAACTGTTTCCCATTCCAGGAATGCTCTCCCTGCTTCCTTCAAACTCAGCTGAAATCCCACCTACTTCAGAAAGCTTTTCTCTGGTGCTCTTCCCCCCTCCTGTAGCTAGTCCTTTCCCTCTAAAATCACCACCCATCTGCTCTATACATCTTGTATGTACAGGATAATTTACACATTGTCTCCTCATTAGAATGTGAGCTCCTTGAGGGCAGAGGTGGTGTTTTCCCCTTTACTTTGTATCCCTAACACTTAACATAGTTCCCAGAACATAGTAAGCACTTAATAAATGCTTGTTGATGGGATTACCGACTGATTTTGCTATGTGATTCTCAGCTAGGCACTTAATTTCTCTGCTCCTCAGTTTAATATGAGAATAATGTATGCTTCATCTGAAAAACAAAGAGATTGTACTAGATGATCTCCAAGGTTCTTCTCAGTTCTAAATCTCTGATCCTTTGTTGCTATATATATTTAGCACCATTTTTAGAGTTCCAAGAACAGAATTGGAAGGGCAACAGAACCTTTGGAATATAAAGCAGATTTAAATTCGATATACGGAAAAGCTTCCTAATCATTGTTGTTCAGTCATTTCAGTTGTGTCCAACTCTTTGTGATCCCATGGACCTCTGTCCATTGGGTTTTCTTGGCAAAGATCCTGGAACAGTTTGCCATTTCCTTCTCCAGTGGCAAACAGGGATTCAGTGACTTTAAGGTCACACAGCTAAAAAGTTTCTAAATCTGGATTTGAACTCAGGTCTTCTTAACTCCAAGCCCAGTACTCTATCCACTGTTGCCTCTCCATTTCATTAGAGCAGTCTAAAAATGGGATAGTAGTAAGTTTGCCTTCACTTCAAGTCTTCAAGCAGAGACTGAATTCAGTGCTGAATTTATCCTCTGTGTTATATTGGTATAATGGTATAGTGCTACAGTGATATATGTTGAACTGGAAAGATCTCTGAGGTCCCTTGAAATTCAGATTCTGCGAGATAGAGCAGTAGGTGTTCAATAGAAAGGAAGGTAGTGTATCTAGTATTTATAGTTAGGATCTGAGAGTGATGATTGACTAACCAAAAGCTATGGTGTCACCATGCATAGATGTCATCGTGATGGGAAAAGAGGCAAAGTATGCTAAGTGTCACAGGGGGTAAAATAAATTAACAATGGCCATATTTGACAAATAATGACCAGTGCTAGTCATAAATATGGACAGAAAGGCATGCTGCTAGAGACCTACTCCAGTATCTTTCCCAAGAAAACCCCAAAAGGGGTCACAACTGAAACAACTGAACAACAACTAGATGATGAGATGGCCAACAAAATCTGCAACTTCTGAGACCATCCTAAGATTCACTTTAGTGTCAAGGTCCCAATTTTAACGAATTATCAGGACTGGATTTCTAGTTATAAAAATGCATTCCAACAACCTAACTAAGCCAAAAATAGAGTATGTGAAGTACAATTTGTCCCAGAGGCACTTCAAATTCAATAGGGCAGAACTTTACTTAACATGGTCAAAACTCTATCTTTTCTCCCAAATCTGTTCCCCTCTTCCAAAATCCCCTATTTCTGCCGAAGGCACCAAAATTCTTCCAGTTTCCCAGTTTTGTAACCTAAGCATTATCCTGAACTTCTCATTCTCCCTTATGGGTCCAGTCAGTTGAAAAATCTTGCCATCTTTACCTCCTCAACATTTCTTCCATTCAACCCCTTCTCTCTACTTACATACCTACCACCTTAGTTCAGGCTCATACTTCTCACCTAGATTATTACAAAAGCCTTGTAATAGTCCCCTGTACCAAACCTCTGCCTAATCCATCCTATGTATCTCAACAAAAGTAATTTTCAGGGGCAGCTAGATGGTGCAGTGGATAGAGCACTGGCCCTGGAGTCAGCAGGACCTGAGTTCAAATCCGACCTCAGACACATGATACTCACTAACTGTGTGACCCTGGGCAAGTCACTTAACCCTGACTGCCTCACAAAAAAAAGTCATTTTCCATAAGTACAGATACAACCCTGTCACTTCCTAACTTAGGTTAACTCTAATGGCTCCCTATTGCCTCTAGAATAAATTAGAAACTCTTCTGCTTAACTTTTAAAGTCCTTCATAACTTGACCCCAACCTATCTTTCCAGCCTCAATGTATATTACTTCTGTAATCTAGCCAAGTTCTCTTCAGCTCTCATCTTTGTGCCTTTTGCACTGCCCTGAAATGTACTTCCTCCTCTCCTTCACCTCATAAAGTGCCCCTCTTCCTTCAAGAGACAACTCAGCCATCACTTTCTGTGGAAAGCTTTTCCTGACCTCCTCAGTTCCTCATGCCCTCTCTCCCAAATTACTTTGTATTAAACTGCTTTATAATTATCTACTTTATAATTTGTCTTGTATATACTTATTTGTGTATTTGCTTCTCCATGAAAATATAAGGTTCTTTGAAAAGGGAATTCTTTCTTTGTATTAGTATTCTCAGCACCTAGCATAGTGCCTCACACATAGGGGACCCTTAATAAATGCTTGTTAGTTGATAATTAAGGTTAAAAAAAAAAAAGGAACACAATGGTGACTACTTACCACTGAGCCTACTACAGAACTGCAGGTCTATTCTTACCTGTAACAAAAACCCAATAAGGGATGCTAGGGCTGCCATTCCAATGCACAGAACTCCAAACAACACACCTGGGGGAACAGATTGAAAGTCAGCCTTAGATCCTAATGTGCCTAATTAACATTCCCAATGTAAAACATTCATCACAACTTCCAAACAAGGTGATAATCAGAGTGGGTCCAAGGACAGCCAGAGAGATCAAAGCAAACAAAGGGGTTAAAATGGAGTGTGTGTTTCCTATAGAAAAAGCAATGTGCAAAGTTGGTAAATAAAACCCTTGTGTTGTGCTTAAGGATTAGTTGAAACACTAGATTATATTGAGTAAAGAATTCCTGGAATTAACTGTGGAGATCGTAAGCCTGTGGACTACTATTAGTCTAATCCTTCACCAACATTTGTGTTTAAGGGAAACTTTATATCACTTTTTTTTAAGTTTACCAGTAACAGAGTACTTTTATTCAAAACTACTTTGTTTAACTGGGTATCAGGGAGGAAGGAGAGAAAGGATTTGATTTGTGATTTTATTTTTATAGAGACTTACCATGTGGAAACTCTCTCAACGCTTGCATTGGTATGATTGGATTAAATACTTAAAATATTAAAAATCTAAATTTTCTGACTAAGGGTTTAGGGAAGCAAATATGAATCAGTTATAATCTGTGTCCTTTCAATGAGTCATCCTTATCAATGACATCACAAATCTACTTTCTTTATTTAAACTTTTTATGTTTCTATTGACATTCTATTTCTTACATGATCTTAGTATCTCATGTATCCCTCTCCCTACTTTTCTCAGAAGAATAAATTAGAGAAGGAATGAGTCAAAGTTGAATGGATCTTACTATCTCTCAAATTGGTGTACTTCTGAAGAGGACTATACAAACATAGAAATGTGGATAGTGGGAGCAGGAATTCTGCAAATCTCACTCTTATTTGAACTAGAAAAAAAAAGTGTTTTATATATATATATATATCCCCCTCCCAACACATACTCAAAGAATTTGGCACAGAAATAAATTAAAGCAACTATCTCTACATACCCTATTTTCTAAATCAATTGTTTTTAGTAGTAGATATCTTACATTTTCTTCTGTTCTGGTCTTTTGCTTTGCTCTATTATTTCTTGTTGTCTCATTGAATTATTGATCCCTGGGAGTGGCAATAACCTTCAAACCACTGGTCCTGCTTCCACATGAACTCTTACTGCCATCATCCTAGAAAGCAATTCTTGTGGAGAAGGAGTCAGCCATCCCTGCCAACTCCACATACAGAGTAGTCAGGTCAGCTTAGCTGAAGCAACAAGGCATCCTGAAGGGGAGGCAGGAGGCAACATGTTCTGGAGAAGTCAAAACACCACTACCCCCTTGACCACTAGCTCTCTTCATACTCTACTAGAGACAGCCTAGAATCCTGAACCCCAGAGACTAGAGCAATAACAATGCTTCTAGCTCAGTGCTAGAGTCCTTGAGGACAGGGATTGTCTTTTGCCTCTTTTTGTATCCCCAGCACTTAGCACAGTGCCTGGCACATAGTGGGCACTTAATAAATGTTTTCTTTTTAACTTATTAATTCTTTTCTCCATTCTGTTTTTCTGAGAATTCACTATTTGGTAAAGTTTTCTATCTTCTTTTCTATGTTGTTTATTCTCTTTCCAAGTCTTCTAATTTCATTCAGTCTTATTTCAGCTCTTCTTTCATACTTCTATCCAGTTAGCGTCCCTGTGGTCAATCCATTCTTTTTTAAGGGGTTCTACTTGTAATTATCAGATAGTTGTTTTTCTTTTTCTGAGATTTTATCTTAGGATTATCTTAACTCATTGCATTTCTCAGAAATAAACTTTAATAGGAATTTAATTAGAATATGCTAAGTGTAGGCCCACAGTCACCAATACCTTTCATGAAAAGAGCATTGACCTACCTAAGGGTAATATTCTCAGTGGGCCTTTTCCCCTGCAATTCTTAGGTTTTGCCATCTGGATACTATCTTATGAGAATTCGGACCCTCCTAAATGTTCTGGTATTTGTCCTGCAGATGGTTCTACCTACTGTGTGCTTAGTAGTCCCTGATAATTCCCTGCTGAGCTCAGTTCTGTCTCTGGTGAGTCCCTGAGGGATGACGAAGTCCTATTATCCAGTTAATTCTTATGCTTAGCTTATGGTTAAAAGCTGAGGAAATTAGAAATAGAACCACTAGAGAAATTAGGAGGAGTATTATACATTGGACCAGATGGTGTGGTTTCAGTTCCCTAGGAGTAGATATCCCTGAGATGGAAAGAGGGTAACCAGGGAACAGGGGTATATAATTTTAATAGACTGAGGGAAAGGGAGCTATCATCTCGAGCCAAAGGATAAGTCTTACGCAAAAGGATTATAAACTTTTAGCTTCTATTTCCAGATATAATTTATTGCAGGTGTCTTAGCACAGAAGTTACTTTCAAGTGTTTCTGGTTCTGGTGGCCAGTTTTATTTGTTTGGTTTCTATCATCAACTGGCCTTTGGCTCCATTGTGACCTTCTGAGAAATTTGTGATTTGGCAACGACAATGATTGTAGTTTGAACTATTGTTTTTTCTCCTTTGTTAAGATTAGTGAATGTTTTATGTTAGTGTTTAGAATGGATGTTTGAGCTATTTGCTATTGAGCATAATATGTGATTTTAGTCCTGGTGTGGCAGTGATAGGACTGAGACCAAGGGGTGGAATGTTGTGAGCTTTATTTGTTTTGCACAGGTCTCAGGGCCTAAGGGTCTGGTATGGTTGTATGGCAACTTTTAAATACACACATAGCACTTAATTATGAAGACCCAGAATGGGGATAGGCTAAATCTTTTTAGGGGGAACATATAAACCAGTATCAAGAGGGATACTCTTCATATTTGTTTGATGAATGGTTTATCCCCATCCAGATTGTTGTCACTGATCTGGGTATATCCCCATAGGCAGGAATCTGGAGAGCTATACCTTTACATTCTTGCTGAATATTCATTTCTGTATCCTTACTTAATGCTTATATTTAGCAAAAAAAAAATTAAGTTATCTGCCTCATTAATTCAATCTCTCCAGATTGGGAACTTGCATTTGGGATCAGCATGTACCTGGCCCAAGACACTGGGATTTCTGCTTTCAATCTCTCCCCTATCCAATGCATCCTTGCATAGCTGCCCCAAAAAGCCCCAAACATACAAAGATATTGATTTCACTGTGTTTACTACCCTGCTCAAAAAGTTTCATTGGATCCCTATTGCCTCTGGTATAAAAAAAAAGCTCTTAGCCTGGCATTAAAGACACTCTATGATCTGACTTCAAACTATCTTTCAAGCTTTATTTCACATTCCTCACTTTTACATACTCTCTGTATAATACCTAGTCTACCCTTAGCAATCAATCAATAAACATTTATTAAGTGTCCACTATGTGCCAGGCACTGTGCTAAGCACTGGGGATACAAAAAGAAGCAAAAGACAATCCCTGTCCTCAAGGAGCTTACAACATAAAGGGGGAGACAACATACAAACAAGCTTTATACAGGATAACTAGTAAATAATTAAGAGAAAGAAGGCACTAGAATTAATAAGGGTTGGAAAAGGCTTCCTGCAGAAGATGGGATTGGGAAGTCAATAGGTGAGTTGACAAGGGAGAGTATTCTAGGCATGAGGGGCAGTCAGAGAAAAAGTCCGGAGCTGAGAGATGGAGTGTCTTATTCATGGAACAGCCAGGACACTGTCAAGGAAACTAACATGGCTATTTCCTAACCTGAAAATTCCACCTCTAGCCTCTGTACATTTGTAGGGACTATTCTCCATACTCAACACTTGCTCCTCATTTCTGCTTTCAGAATGCTTATCATCCTTTAAAGCCAGCTCAGATGTCACCTGTTCCCTCTGATTTAGCATAGGATAATGGAAAAAGTTCTAGGTTGACTTGGAAGACATGAGCTCATGGGGCAGCTCTGTGGCACAGTGGATAAAGCACTCGTCCTGAAGTCAGGAGGACCTCAGTTCAAATCCGGCCTCAGACACCATAACACTCACTAGCTGTGTGACTCTGGGGCAAGTCACTTAACCCCAACTGCCTCACCAAAAAAAAAAAAAAAAAAAGACATGAGCTCAAATCTTTGCCTTGTTATTTAGTATCTGTGTGATTGCATAATTCCTTTAGTCTCTCTGATCCTCAGTTTCCTCACTTGTTAAAAAAAAAAAAAGGTGGTGAGGCAGTTGGACCAAATGACTGGAGATGTTTAACATGGAGAAGAGAAGACTTAGGGGGTCCATGATGGCTCTACTCAATTATTATTTGAGTTTTGTAACCTGGAAGAGGGATTGGAATTACTCTGACTAAAGAAGGCAAAACTAGGAAAAATAAATAGGAAGTCTAAAAAAAAAATGCAAATAGAGGCTTGACTCTCTAATAATTAGAGCTATTGTGGAAGGAGGCGGGGCTTGTAGGTTCCCTGTCATTTAAGGCCTTCAAGTAAAGGCTGAATTACCATTTAGTAGGTAAACTATAGAGGGTAGAGGTAGAAGTGGGACCTTCTGTCCAATAAGGTCTCATCCAGCTCTGATAGACTACAATTCTGTGGCATCTACATAAACTTTCACTTCTAAATCTATGATCACATGTTATTGCAAAAACAGTTGACCATCCTAAATTGAGCCAGCCACATAGGAATAAAGATTTTTTGATATGGCAAACATCCATCCATATTTTTGAGAATGGATATAAAAAGATTTCATACATAAAACCATAAAAGTTCAGTGGTCACTTACTTGTTCCTTTCAAAAGCCAAGATAGAGTCTTTTCTGAGAGTGACCGAAAGTGAGGTTTGATGAGGTCTTCAATCGTTACTAAAGCTAAAGCATTGATACTGGAGGACACTGTGCTGAAGAAGACAAGTGAAAACTTTATTACTTTAAAGCATTTTAAGAAAACTTTGTTGTTATTGTTGTTTACTCATTTTTGGTCGTATCCAACTCTTCATGACCCTTTTTGGTGTTTTCTTGGTAAAGATACCAAAGTAGTTTGCCATTTTCTTTTCCAACTCATTTTACCAATGTGGAAACTGAGGCAAACAGGGTTAAGTGACTTGCTCAGGGTCACACATTTAGTAAGTGGTTGAGTCTGCATGTGAACTTAGGTCTTCCTGCTTCCAGGCCTGGCACTCTATCCACTGAGCCACCTAGAAGTAGGCCATAGACTTGCTAATGGGTATCATTCCCAAAATCTTCCTGATTTGGGCAAAGACAAACATTTTTATCATCTTTGGAGAAACACAAAATCAAATGAAGGTAGTATAAAGTAGATACAACAATGGAGACATGCAAAATTGGGAGAAAAACAGAAACATACCCAGTTTAGTTCATGGGGCACCATGACCAAGTAGAAGTTAGAATATCCTGCCAAAGGCCCATACATTCACAGGCTATGCTAAGAGCACAAAGGGCAGATGTGCTTTGTTTTTCTGCCTAGAGACAAAAGTGTTTCTCATAGTAAAGCGTCCTCCCATAGTCCTTCAGTATAATAATATCTAATCTATTTACACTTGTTGTTGTTGAGTCATTTCAGTTGTGTCCAACTCTTCATGACTCCATTTGGGGTTTTCCTGGCAAAGATGCTAGAGTGGTTTCTATTTCTTTCTTTGACTTCTTTGACAGATGAGAACAATAATGCCAAGCACTACAAGACAAGCATAGGCTCCTGATTCTACAAATGAAATCATAGATCCAGAGTTGGAAGAGACCATTCAATTCAACCCTCTCATTTTACAGATAAGGAAACAAAGGTCTAGAAAAAGCAAATGACTTGTCCAAGGTCCTATGGGAAGTAAACTGCAGGACAAGGATTTGAACCCAGACCTCCTTACTATAGCACTGCAGTAATTGATCGAATTTAATCCAATTCCACAAGCATTCACTGAGTTCCTTCCACAGGCTAGACACCATATTAATTAGGAATGGTAGTGATGCAAAGACAGAATTGGAAAACAGTTCTTGGCCTCAGGGAGTTTGCACTCTACTGTCTACATTACATTCTACTTTCTACATTACATTCTACATAGCATCGCTAATGCTGCCTTTGTACTCCTGGAAGGCTATAAGATCATAAATTTAGAACTTCAGGGATTCTTAGAGATCATCCAGTCCAACCCCGACTCTCATTTTACAGAGAGAAAGGAATTGACTTGACCAAGGTCACACAAGTAACAAGCAGCAGACCTGGGATTTTTTAAATCCAGGTCCTTTGATTTCAAGTCAATTCTCTTTCCACTACACCACACTATCCCTCTTCTCTCAGAAAGACACATAATGGAAGCAAAATGTTTGAATTTTTTCACCTTTGTAATGAAAGAATTACTACAATCCATCTTCCTTAAAATGCACAATAATTTTATTTGAGGGGTAAAGGTGCAGGAAGGGGCAATCTATGATTTTATTGGTGTAGAGAGCTTCTAGCATGCGTACTATGAATGCAGATAGATTACTATTCAGCAACTTGTGCTCCAAGCACATTGATTAGGTCAAAGAGAGGTTAAGTAATATGCACAGACTAGGATAGTTAGCATATTTCCAATGCAGGAATTGAACCTTGAAGGTCTGACCATGTTGTCCCCCTACTCAATAAACTCCACTGGTTCCCTATCACTTCCAGGATCAAACATAAAATTTCCTGTTTGACATTCAAAGCCTTTTATTACCTAGCCTCTTATCAGTCTTCCCATACCTTACTCCCCCACCATATATTCTTTGATCCAGAGACACTGGCCTCTTGCTTGTTCCATGAACAAAACGTTCCATCTGCCTGCTTTGGGCATTCTCTCTGGCTGTCTCTCATGCCTGGAAGCTCTCATTCCTCAACTCTGTCTCCTGGCTTCCCTGGACTCCTTTAAGACCCAACTAAGACCCAATCTTCTACAATAAGCCTTTCTCAATCCCTCTTAATTCTAGTACCTTCCCTCTCTTGAGTATTTCCTATTTCTTCTGTATTTAGTTTGTACACAATTGTTTGCTTGCGTCTCCCCTTCCCATTTGATAGCCACACCTATACATAGATGCATCAGCAACTTGGAATTTCGTTGGAATAGGAAGGAATTCTTTCCACCAATACAAAAAACGCTTTTATATCTTAAAGGTCTAGAGCATTGCCTGAGGTAGAAAGAGGTTGTGACTTGTCCATGGTAACATAGCTAGAAAGTATAAGAGGCAACATTTGAATCTAGGTGTTCTTGACTCAAAGACCAATGCAATCCACCCTGCCATGCTGCTTCTCCATATATATTTTTGTATGTATACACGTAAACATACATATGTGTATATATACATATGTATATGTGTATAAATGTATATATGTATATACATATATACTATATGTATTATTAAAAAATTTATTAAGCTACCTGTTTCTGGTAAATAGTGAAATCTTTTGAAGTAAAAACTGTTGATATTTAGCCATTATTGTTGAAACCTCAAAGGCAATATGGAAACATACTATATAAAATTATGATGATGATAATAACAATAATAACTAGCATTTATGTAGTATCTACTATGTGCCAGGCACTGTGTTAAGCACTTTAAAAAATATTATCTCAAAAAATATCATCTCATTTATCCTATAGACACTGATGAAATCACAATTCTTTGAAGTATTCGATAGAATACATACATGAGTTGCATGTTTACCATTCTTATATTTAAAATCCAACTTAAGTCATGAAAATATAAAGGTCATTACAAAGCACTTCAAAAATCACACTCCAGGAATTACACAAAGTTCATACCTTAATGTTCCACCATATACACATGCCACAAAGAGTCCTGGGAGTCCTGGATAATCTCGCATAATGTCCAACACCAAATAGGGCATGAGCTGAAAGAGTCCCAGATTTACTAAGGTTGTTCCTTATTGTCAGAAAATATGTTTATTCGGCTTTTTTTTAACTGATGGAGATAGATCAATTTCTCAGTTATCTAAGCATTGTCAGAGAATGAGTTATTTCACATAAATAAATGTTTCAGATAATTGTTTAGCTCTCTGCCAAAACTTTATTTTTGTTTGTTGGTTGATTGAAAAGCTTCAGTACTGCTTTAGTGCTGTGTGATTTCCATATTGCTTTCCACCAGTATTTATATTTTCAATTAAACTGATTTCCAAAACATGACTAGTCTAACTATTATCAATCAGACACATTATTATTAACACATGCTCCTAAAATTTGTCTTTGCATTTTAATTTTGAATCCAGGATTACTCATTCAGCTATAACTTTGGAAGTACAAATTTGCTAAATCTTTTAAACCAGCTCTTGATACATATTTTTTGCTTAATAGGTAGGATTTTTGTGAATAAGCATGGTCATTTCATAATATGCTTGAGTAATTTGGCTAATGCATTCACAAAAGAGCAACAATACCGAACCTGGTCCGGTGCTGATATTTTCTTTGAAGTCCAAGGATCACAGTCATGGTACCTTGAATAAATGGCAAGCCCACAAAACACCGTACAGGCAAGAATTAGCCATTGTCCTATAAGATTTATATAAAGAGACCTAAAACAAAAAATAAAATTCCATCATTTTAATGTAAAAAGAAGCATCACATGGGGGGGAAAGCAAAGAATTTTTGGTTCCATATTACATTAAGTAAATACACATTATCGTTTAATTGGGCCAAAAATGGGTTTTTGCTCTGATTTAAGTCTTTCTGACATCAGAAATGTAGGTTGCATTATGGCATAGGAGTAAAGCCAATTAACTTGGGTCCTGACAAGCTGGGTTCTAATTCTTTCTTCTTTCACTCTCCACTAGCTGCTTTCTTTAGAAATCCAACAATAGAACTGATCCAACCAGTCTGGAGAGCAATTTGGAACTATGCCCATAGGACTACAAAACTATGCATATCCTTTGATCCAGCAATACCACCATTAGGTCTATATCCCAGAGAGATTTTTTTTTCCAGCCAAAGACAAGGTTTATTAAAGATCCCCCATATCAGCCAGAATCTTAAGGAATCTGAGCATCTGGTGAGCTGTTGGCTAGATTGTAAGGATCTGAGCAGTGGCTAGATTATAAGAATCAGAGACCCCAAAGAGATTTTTTAAAAAATGAAAAGGACCTATTTGTACAAAAATATTTATAGCCATTCTTTTTTGTGGTGGCAAAGAATTGGAAATGGAGAGGATGTCCATAAATTGAGGAACGGCTGAACAAGTTGTGGCATATGATAGAAGCCTATCATGCTATAAGAAATGACAAGCAGGATGGTTTCAGAAAAACATGGGAAGACTTATATGAACTGATACAAAGTGAAGTGAGTCAAACCAGGAGAACGTTGTACACAGTAACAGCAACATTGTACAGTGATTAACTATGAATGACATAGCTATTCTTAGCAATACAATGATCTGAGACAATTCCAAAGGACTCGTGATAAAAAATGCTATATACCTCCAGAGAAAGAACTGATGAAATCTGAATGCAGATTGAAACATATTTTTTATTTTATTTTTCTTGTTTGTGGGTTTTGTTTTGTTTTTCAGTCTGTGTTTTCTTTCACAACACGGCTAGTATGGAAATATGTTTTGCGTGATGGCACATACATAATCTCTATCAACTTGTCTTCTCAAAGAGGAACGAGGGGAGGGAGAGAATTTGGGAACTAAAATTTTTTAAATGAATGTTAAAAATTGTTATTACATGTAATTAAAAATATAATTTTAAAAAGGTAAGCCTGCAACATTACAAAGAGTGTGGTCATGCCACATCATGATGAAACAACCAGGTTAATAAAACATTTGGTTATTCCAAAGATTGTACTTTTATGAATAGTTCCAAACAATCATCTCCTCTAATTTTTTCACCTATTTAAGTAGGCACCTGAATACTTTGGAATCCTAAAGACCCAGTGTAAGATGGGTAGGGCATTCATTTCCATTTTACAAGGAAATAAGTGCAGATATTTATGGTGCTCTCCTATTCAGATCTACACACCTGTACCTCCCACTCTCACACTCACTTGCAATTACTGTAATTGACCATGGTGCCATTCAAGTGCACATGACAGATTGCTATGTTGCCATGGCAATCAATTATAATCCCCAGATGGATCCTTTTGATCAAAATGATTCACCCTTCCCAAGCCATCAATGTTAGAAAACAAGAAAACGCATCAGTCCAAGAAAGTTTTTTGTTTCCATAAAGAAACCCTAAGTGTCTGAGGGAAGATTTGAACTCAGATCTTCCTAACTCCAAATCTGTCACTCCAACCACTGTGAGATTCATCCAGCTGAAGATAGTGAGGTCTTTCCCTTCCTCCTCCTTTAAAATTAAAAGGAATCTGAGAGGTCATCTGTTGCAGATGAGGAAACAGGTCCAGAGAGCTAAATTGTCCAACACAGATAGTGACAGAGTTAAGATCTGAATCCCAATCCAGGGCTCTGACCAGTGTACGACATTGTCTCCCTAAAGATTCGATGTCACAAACTCCTGCATTCAAATTTCACCTCTAACCCTTATCAACTATGCAACCCCGAGTGCATTGTTTAAACTTTCTCAGTCTCATTTCTTGCATTTGTAAAGCAGGGATGATGCCTGTAGTACCTACTAATGTTGTTTTGAACCTCAAGTGAGATAATACATGCAAAGCATTTTGCTAAAATTAAAATGCTTTATAAAAATTAGCTTATCATTTGTCCAGACCTGCGATTTTATCCTTGAGTAAAATGCCAGTAATAGAGATGAACAATTCTTCCATAAATGTTGATTAAATGAATATAAAGAACAGACCACTGAAGTGAGACTTGCCCATGATTTCATAGTTGGTATATATCAGAGTAAAGCTCTAAATTCAGGTCTGATTTCATTCAACACTTTATCCACCTTCCCATGCTGCCTCCCATTATTATAGTATACAATCATCATCGTCATCACCATTATCACCACTATATCATAATCATCATCACCATCATCATCATCACCATCATCATCACCATCATCATCATCATTACCTTCATCACCAACAGCATCATCATTTAGCATTATGTTGTTATGTTATTTACCACTTCAATTGTTTTCCAACTCTTTGTGACCTCATTTGGGACTTTCTTGGTAAAGATACTAGAGTGGTTTGCAATTTCCTTTCCCAGCTCATTTTACAGATGAGGAAACTGAGGCAAACTGGGTTAAGTGACTTGACCAAGTCACACAGAAAGATGAGTCTTCCTGACTCCAAGCCTGGCACACTATCCACTTTGCCACCTAGTTATCCTATTTACCATTATATAAAGAGTTAAACAAACCTTTATAAAAACTGAAAGACAGTCAAAGACCATTGAGACCAGAGTCACTCTTACATTTTTGCTTGGAACCTGCTTTTACAGGCGATGTACCGCTGAACCTGGGATTGATTGATGCCATAGATACTGGTTGATGCGAAAGTTCCCCCAATAATGATTGTCCAGAAGCTATACCTTTGCAAAGGGTTTGGATTGAAGCTAAACGAAAAGAAAAAAAGAAGACAAAATGTCAGACTATTGCACGGAGTATAACAGTGTGGAAATCTTTCACATTTAAGCCCAGTAAAATGAAAAGTCATCCTTTGGAAGTCTGAAACATAAGGCTCTGAAAAAAAAAATAAAGAAACATGAGGCCCTGTTCCTAGGCAGCTAGATGGCACAGCAGAGTACTGGATCTGGAATTAGGAAGACCTAAGTTGAAATCCAACTTCAGACACTTACTAACTTTGTGACTAGGCAAGTCACTTAATCTCTGTCTGACTCAGTTTCCTCAACTATAAAATGGAGAGGGTTGTAGTGAGGATCAAACAAGATAAGACAGGGTGTGCCAAAAGTTCTAAGGTGGTTGTAAGATTTAATAATTTCAGGAATATAAATGCTACAAACTTAAAAAAAACTGGTAAGGTTAATTATTTAAAATGTTAAAATACTAATATTCTTATTAAAATTCAATATAACCACCATCTCATGCACCATCTTGTGTTGATTTTTCAATATAATCACCACTTTAGTTGATTTTTGAACTTTGTAAAACTTTCTTTGGCTACTCTTAGGGACTGAAAAAGTTGCAGTTGTAACCCTAGCCTTAAGATTATCCCAAACTCAAGGCTTCGGTGTATACACAACATCTTTTATGTGATCTCACAGGAAAAGTCTGAAGGAGATGAATTAACTAAAGCCTAATGGAGATAAAGTCAAGTAACTAATATGATGTGGCGTTGAACTCCTCTACTGATCTCCTGATTTGAGAAAATTTCATCTAGAAATTGGGGTACTCACAGTGTATAATGGCAGTTGTCCCTTCTTGTTAAAATTGAAGTTTTAAATGTATTATTCAAAAACAATAAAACTAACTAAATAAGTGTAACAGAAAATTAATCAAATTTTCAAATACTGCTGTTCCCACTGAAATTTTATCCTAATAACACACACACGTATAAACACACACACACACACACACACACACACACACACACACACACAGGACAAATGAAAACTTACTCCCAGAAGTTTAATCTTCCTCCGTGATAAGAATCATTTAGAATTTTGTTGATCCCACCTTGAATCTCAGCAGCCTGTATGATCACGGACAAAAGTCCTGCCACCATGATTCCAACTTGGAAAACATCTGTCCAGATGACAGCTTTGAAACCACCCTTTGTTGAGGAAAGCACATTTAAAATATTACCAGTGTCATCATTGGTTCATAGGAGCTGGAAGGGACCTTAGAGGTTACCTAATCCAATACCTTAATTTTACAAGTGAGGAAACAGGCCAGGGAGGTTAAATAACTTGTCCAAGGGGCATAGCCAAGGTGTGAAGTCCAGTCTTTTGGCTCCTTATCCAGTGGGGAAATGGGAATGGGGGTTTCCCTTATTGGTTTGCTTGGGTCCCAGTCTGTGCTGGTAAAGCCTGCACCTCTCACCCGGCTGCAACAGACCTTTCCTGCTGACCTGCTAAGTTGTCTTGGGCAGGAAAATTGTTTCACCCCGTCCTTTTGTGCATTCTGCTACTCCAGAATTTGTTTTGAGACATTATTTTAAAGGTATTTAAAGGAGAAATTGGGAGAGTTCAGATGAGTCCCTACCTTTCCTCTGCCATCTTAACTCTGCCTCTCAGGGGTTCCCCCATTGTAACACACAACCCTATTAGATATTAGATGCATAGCACTGTATCAGGACCCTAACTCCTTCCACATTAACCTGAGTATTCTCACCCCATTACCACCACCACTATTACAACAAAATATCATCAAATATGATGAGGTAATGTAAACTTTTTTTCCTCTGAATACTCTCTATCATCCATATATAATTAAAGAAGTATGGGCAACCCATTTCCTGACAGTAAGAGGTACAGTGCCTGAGTCCTAGAATTTTCAATTATGTAGATTTCATGAGGCATGTCTCCATAGAAATAAATAGTTGGCATACCATTGTGCAGTAGAAAGTGCAGACCACTCCCGTGACAATGATTGCACCCCATAGGTTGAATCCTGTGACTGAAGAAAAAAGGGGGAAAATTTAATCCCCATTAAATGTGCACATTTCAACTGACTCTCAAAAACCTCATCCCAAATTTCAGTAAGATTTCACAAAACAAACATCTGTGGTTGAAACAGGGCTGGATTTGGAGGGGGAGGACCTGGTTTCATATCCTGGTTCTGCAACTAGCCTTTGTATGATCTGACAAAACTCCTCCTACACCCTTCATTTGAGGAGGAGGCCCAGGGAGTCACCTCATCCTTTCATACCTGGCCGCTCCCCTGGAGTTCACCATTGTCTCTAGTAACACATCTTCTGGCACAATCACATCAACTTTGAAAATCACACTTCCTCAATACTCCCTGCCCCTGGGGCTCCTACCTCACTCTGATTGGAGAAGCCTATTCAATATTAACCACATGTATCACTGCTAAATGTGCAAACATTTACCTTGATTCAAAGCCAGAGCCGGAGCATAAATAACAATGCCAGTATACAGAATCTAGAAAAACAAAGTCAGAGTATGGAATATGGACATGAAATTCTTAAATACATAAGAACTTTTTAAAAAAAATTATAGCCTTCTTAGTATTCAAATTTATTATCCCCCCTCTTCCTATGATTGCATTTGTATTTTGGGTATAGATAGAAGGAAGAGTTTCTCATGTAAACCCCTAATTCCCTGCTCTAAGTCATTGGGTTTCATCTCTCTGGAACTAGTGGGATCACTATATGAGACCCACTAACTAATTTGTATGTTTTGTTGATTTGATGTTTAATCAAAACCCAAGATAAATTTATAGACACAGTCATCTCCAAGCCACACTCTCACCTCATCTTTCTCCCACAAGAACTTAGAATTCCACCCCAGCACCCTGGCCTCTGATTGGCAAGCTTTCATCTTATCTTGCCAATCATGGTATTTCCCAGTCATTTTCAAACAATGATAACTGGAATGTAACCTCCACATTCCCCTGCCCTTCCACTTCTAGTCCCATATATAGGTTGTCTTCCCTTAGTGGAATATAAATTTCCTGAAGGCAGGGACCATTTTGCTAGCTCATAGCAAGCAGTTGCAGAAGGGCAGACTTTGCCCAAGGTAAAAAGTCCATCAATTGGAGCCATCCAACAGTGGAATAGAACAGCTTGTATCCCTAGCACTTCGCATACTGCCTAGAACATGAAAAAATACTTTTTTTTTCATTCATTCATCAATGGCAATTTATCAACAAATTATACCATAATCCCTACTAATTCTAATAATAATAATAGTTAGCATTTATGTACTACTTTAAGGTTTGCAAAGTGCTTTACAAATATATTGTATGTTTTCCTCCTGGCTGGCCTCTTCCTTCCCCTCTTGGCTCCCTCAACCCTTGAAGGATTTTTCTTATTTTAGCCCCCAAGGTCCATTTGGTGAGGCACTGCTGCATTCCTCCCTTCTTCTTGTGATCTTATGTATCACTTTTCTACTTTCTGTTCTCCTCTATCATACTTGGAAATGTGTTGTAGTAAATATTTAACTTTATGTTTAAGATAGTGGATAGCCAGCATACACAGATATCTGTTTTTTGAGATTGGAGCAAAACTCTTCCAATTCTGAATGTTATATTTTTTTGGAGTGCAATTTTAATTGTTTACATATATGTCTTATCTCCCTTACTTTGTTGTGAGTTCCACAAAAGTAATTTCTATGCCTCATTCTTCTTTATATATATTACAGTGCCTCAGGTGATAATTAGCATCCTTGGCTTCACAGAGATGACACCTCCCCACCTCCCCACACTTTTGAGTCAACTTCCCCTGCACATGCTTCTGTGGTTCTGGATTGTTCCTTATGGAAAACTTTGGAACTGGATATGTGGTGGTGGATGGTTCCCACAGCATGAAGGCCCCCCTGTCTACATTCACCCCCAAACAGTATACAGGTATTCCAGTCCAGCTACCCATGTAGACTTGTAAGGAAAAGGCTTGCACACTTCAAGTCCCCACAGGTCTGGGAGTTACTAGTAACTCCAGAGGCTCTTCAATGAAAATAGTTTTATCCTTTGAATTAGGTTCTCATTGGAACCTCCTGGTTCTAATTATTCTCTTGGTTTAGGAAACAAGAATATTTTCTGAAAGTTGTTTAAGGATTTCCATGGTCAGTGCTCTGCATTAAGAGGCTCCTATTTCCAGTTCTTCTCCTTCTTTTCATTTAAACATTTAATAAATCCACTTAGCAGCTCCTTAAAACAGATGCCCAGACCAGACACTTGACATTTACTAGCTGTGTGACCCTGGCCAAGTCACTTAACCCCAGTTGCCTTGCAAAAAAAAAAACAAAATAAAACAAAAAACAGATGCCCAGATGATATAAATGGAACACTAAACAAACAAACAAAAACCCAAAGTACTTTGTTTCCCAAAACACATTATATTATTTTTAGAAAATAAAAGGGATTCTGGAGAATTACTAACCGTTTGAAAGATGAAGAGTATTGTTCCACAGAGGCGAATGTGTTTATTGAAACGAAGCTCTAAATACTTAAAAAATAATTTAAAAGATAAAATGGTTGATATGCATGATCAATAGTTTCACATAGCAGTGTCCCACGCTATCATAGTATCATAGATTTCAAGCTATAAAGGACCTCAAAGATTATGTCCGACTTCAAAGTTATACTGGTAGTAAGTGGTAAAGGCAGAATTTAAACTCAAGAACTCAGACACCAAGTCCACTGTCCTTTCCATTGGCACAGCTGCCTCCCTAGCTGATCAATCATAACCTCTCTCTCTCTCTCTCTCTCTGTCTCTCTGCCTCTCTGTCTCTGTCTCTCTGTCTCTGTCTCTGTCTCTTTGTTTCTCTCTCTCCCTCCCTCCCTTCCTCCCTCTTTCCCTCTCCATAGCACAGTTCTCTATCAGAATATATCTTGGGGGGGGGGAGTACAGGATTAGGAGTTGGGGACCTGGGTTTGAATCTCAAATCAGCTACTTTTTGTAGCACACACTACATGTGTGATTTGGGTCAAGAGAGAAAAGATGAATGGACAATTAATGGTATGGGACAGTGGATTTGGGGTCAGAGGATCTGGATTCAAAATCTGGCTCTGTCACTTAACTAGCTGTGGGGCCCTGGGCAAGCTTCCAGGAATAATGTCAGCCCCACCTCTCTTATACATTTGCTGTTAGGATCAAATTAGATCCTTTATAGGAAGGAGTTTTGAAAGCTGTAGAACTCTAGACAAGGATTCTTAACCTTTGTTTGTGACATGGATACCTCTGTGGCAGTTTGGTGAAGCCTGTGGACCCCTTTCTTGGAATACTATTCTTAAATGCAGAAAATAAAATACATAAACTTAAAAAAGAAAACCAATTATATTGAAATACAGGTATTCAAATGTCCTTTTAAAAACAACACAAATTCACAGACCCCAGATTATGAACCCCTGCTCTCTACAAAGGCAATATTTGCATAATAGGCTGGTGTTAATTCAGACCCACAGGCCAATAATAGAACTGGAAGCTCACTAAGCTAAGCTAAAAACTTCTCCTTACTTCCCTATTTCTGGTAAGCTCAGTTACCCAAACTCAAAATCTTCTCCAACTTCTGCATCCCTTTTCTCACCCTCATCCCAATCCAAACCTTTCATTTCTATTTCTACACTACCTTGAACACCCATGCCCCCTTTCTAGCTCCACTCCTGTTGCCATTGCCTTTATTACCTTAACTTGTAATGGTTTCCTAACTTGTCTTCCTTTCTTGAATCCCCTCTCCCACCTCTTTCCAGTTAATCCTTCACAATCTTCCCAAAGTGCAGGTCCAATAATACCACTCCCCTACACTACAAACTCCAGTTCTTGCCAAGCAAAATAAAATACAGACTCCACATTTGAACATTCAGGGCTTTCTACCATGTGGCTCCAAGCTATCTTTCCAGCATTATTTCCTACTACTCCCTTGGTTACTCTCTATATCTTCATCTCTTGTCCTCTGGAGCTTCTATACATTTGGAAATGCTTTCTCCACTCCCACCAACACCCCCATAGCTCAAATGGTCTCAAATGTTCAATAGGCAGTTGAAGATGTGAAGTCAACAGAGATGTTAGAACTAGATAAGTGTATTTGTGAATCTTCAACATAGAGATGATAATTGAATTCATGAGAATTGATGAGATCACCAGGTGAAATAGTAGAGAGGGAGAAGAAAAGAGAAAGATCCAGGAAAGGAGAGTGAGGAGTGATTAGATAGGTAAGAGAAGAACTAGGAGAGAATAGTTACATGAAAGCCTAGAAAGAAAAGTATCAAGGAGGAGAGAGTGATTAACAATATCAACATCTGTAGAGTGATCAAGAAGGATGAGTATTGAGAAAATATCATTAGACTTGGCAATTATAAAACTGTTAGTAACTTCAGAGAAAGAATTTTTGGTTGAATGAGATTGGAAGCTAGACTGTAAATAATTAAGACAATGAAAGAAAAGAAATGGAAGCATCTGTTGGAGATAGCCTTCTCAAGAAGGCTAGCCATGAAAGAGATGAGATATATAAGATGATAGTTAGCAGGCATGAACAGAACAAATAAAGGTTTTTTGAAGATAGAGGCGATATGGGCATGTTTGTTGGTAGTGGAAAATTAGCCAATAGACAGCAAGAAACTGAAGATAAGTGAGAAAGTAGGGATAACACAGGGAGATATATCCAGATATTTGCTGGAGAAGATGCGATGGAATGGGGTCACTTGTTCGTGTGGAAAGGTTTGCCTTGTAATGAGAAGGGCCAGCTCTTCGTGGGAGGTAAGAGTGAAGGGGAGGAGATGGTGACAGAAGACATCTAGGAGATGTGAGATGAGGAAAGGGGGAGAAGAGAGTGTTTTTGGCAAATGACCTCTTTTTTTTTCAGTAAAATGTGAGGCAAGGTTCTTAGATGAGAGAGTGGAAAGGGGGAGGAGCCATGGGAGACTTGAAGAGGGATGAAAAGGTTTGAGATAAGTGCTGTGGTGAGTGATCAGGAATGCAACTACTCAGTCTTGTGGACCAGACCATCTCTCTAGTGCCAACTGTTGCTCTACACATCCTCCCACCTGCCAATAAAAAGTTTTCTCATTTGGAAAGACTAACCATCCCAAGGGAAGGACTAATTTCAGAGAAATTCCAACCTACCCTTCATCTATGTAAAGAACCATACAGTTCCTAAATGTAGTCCTGGCCATTATGACATGGTAACTGGAAATATCACCTTACATGTGTATCCTAGGCTAACAGGATTAAGGATACAAGGGATGGCTTTTGAGATCCCTTCCAGCTTGATCCCACATATACCTATTACATTGCTTCAATCCTTCCATTTAACGGATAAGAACACTAAAAAGCCCAAAGAAAGGAAGTGACTTACCCATGACCATATAATAACTAAGTTACTGAAAAGCTTAGTTTGAACTCAAGTTTCCTGACTCCAAATGCAATGCATTTTTCATGACATCATGATGCTTTCTTACTATGCCTTGTCCAACAGGAGTAGGAGGAGGAGTTTTCTACTTTAACTTCCCTAGCTCTTTGTGCCCTGCCCCTAAACACCAGCTGGGATTATGGGAACATACGTTTGGAGCTGGGAGGACCCATAGAGATGGTCTAATCCAACTCATTCATTTTATAAGGGAGAAAATTGAGGTCTGTAGAGTTAGGCATCTTGCCCAAGGTCACATAGGTGCTAAATGGCAGAGCCAAAAATTAAACCTAGTTTCATTGGCTTCAAATTCAGGAATCTTTCTAGTGAACCACATTGCCCTCTGAGGTACCTGAACTCACATTGTCCATCAGTTCTCTCATCTAAAGCAAACACTTCGAGTAACTCAGAGTTGCTGACTCCTGTACTGCAATGTGGCATGAAACAGAAGACACTCTGTTGAGTTACAATGTATTCATTAAGAGATGAGGAACGGGCACAGTAGTCTAATGTTTGATCCCAGCTATTGGGGCAAGAACTCACTACCTGACAAAAACTGTTGGGAAAACTGGAAAGCAATCTGACAGAAACTAGGTGGCATAGCATCTCACACTGTATACCAAGACAAGCTCCAAATGGGTACATGATTTAGACAAAGAGGGTGATATTATATCACATCAGAAATTTTTTTAAAAAATTTTTAAAGAGATGAGGAAGGAAAAATTAAAAAAAAAAAAACAAAGAGATGAGGAAGGTCTAGGGAGGGCCTTAGAGGAATTGTTTTCATTTTTTTCTTTATATCCCTAGCACAGCACCTTGAACAAAGGAAATCCTTGATAAATATTAGTTTGATTTGTAGGTGGTGCTCCCTAAGGCGTCAAACTATGTTTTACCCCATAATTTAAAAAGTATGAGGGGCAACTAGGTTGTGCAGTGGGTAGAGCACCAGCCCTGAAGTCAGAAGGACCTGAGTTCAAATCTGACCTCAGACCAAACACTTGACACTTACTAACTGTGTGACCCTGGGCAAGTCACTTAATCCCAATTGCCTAAAAAAAAAAAAAAAGTATGAGCTTCCCGAAATGACTTTCAAATGCCTTTTTCCCTTTTCTCTCCGCAATTACTGTGTTTTATCTCAATCCAACAAATAAGTAATTAAGCATCAATTGTGTACTGGAGGCCAATAAACTCTTAAGTGCTTAATTCTTAAGCTTCTGAGGTCCTGTTCAGTTAAAAAAAAAAATCTATGATGCAAAGCAGTGTTCTAGGCACTAGTGAAGATATTTTTAAAAAATAGAGAAAACAATCCCAGAGCTTGCAGCAAAGGAATACGGCACAGACAAAAAAATGCAAAAACTTGGCATCTTTTTCTAAAGTACTTTCTAGATCTGGGGCATATCTGTATGTATGTCCAGACCTGTGATTTCATCAAAGGAGAGAGACAGAAGTGTGGAAACTCCCTTCACTGATGAAGTTCAAGACTCTGTAACTTAACATCTTAGAGAGCTGCTTGGGGGTGTTGAGATATTAAGTTACTTGCTCAGGATCACACAGCTAATATTTTAGTCAGTCAATAAGCATTTATTAAGGCCTACAATAAGTCAAGCTTTGCGCTAAAATCTGCTGATACAAAGAAAGGCAAAAAACAGGCTCCACTCTCAAGTAGCTCCCAGTCTAACAGAAGAGCTCACAGTGAGAGGCAAGGCTCGAACACTCATCTTTCTGACTCCATGGCTATCCAGTGAACCATACTACCTTTATGTAGCTATAAGGAAAGAGCAGAGTGATTTCTCTCACTCCCAGCCCAGCTCTCTAAATTGGGATAGTAATTTTATTTACACACTAGCAAATATCATCGGTCTTCTTACTCCAAAGCTAGAGCTTTTTATGTCCCCTCTGCTGACTCCCCATATATCAAAAGTCATGTCCTTTGCTTCTCAACAATTTCTTGGGGAGAGGGGCACTAAAGAAGGACCTTGATTAGTTAATTGTCCTCAATCTTATTGACTCAGAAGGAAGTAGGCTGTTTTGATTGTTTTAGGGAGTTATCTCCTACCCCCTGAAATTAGCACTTTTGCTCCAGAGACACTATGCTCCAAATCAGAGTTAGAGTAGACTGTGCAAATAAAATTACTATCCCAATTTAGTGAGAAGGAGCAGTGGACTGGGCTGGGAGTGAAGGGAGGTGGGCTTTGACCTAAACTTCCTCAGTTTGGCTTCTACAAGACAATGATGCAGTAGCGCCTGTCTCAGCAATCAATCTATGCCCTGCCTGTGAAGTTGCCCCTACACAAAACAGCTTCCTGTCTTCCCCTTTCCCCATCTGTGAAAAGAGGAGTGAGTTTTTAGATTTAGAGCCGAAGCGGTGTTAGAGGTCATCTAGTTGAACTCTTCTCAATGAGCACAATGAGAAAGCTCTAGCCTAAAAGAGTGACGTTGGGCAGACGATAAGCTTTCTTCTACACTTTCATTAAGCCGAAAAAGGATGTGCGATGTGCAGAGACATCGCCTTACCTCGTAGGTGCTGGTAATTTCCAACCTGTAAAAGACTGGGAGGAAAACCTCGGCAGTGATGAGAACCACTAAGACGTAGCTGATGGCCCACAAGCTTAATATGGACCCGAAGCGATAGACCTCAGAGGGCGAACCCAGGACGGTGATGGCTGAAATGAAGCTGGCGGTGAGGGACAGCGCCACTGGCATTGCCGTCATCTTCCGACCGCCCATCATGAAGTCCTTCGGAGTCTGCTGGCCGCCTCTGGAGAAGGCGTAGTAAACGCCTATGGCTGCAGAGATAAACAGCATTCCGGCAAACACCAAATAGTCCCACACTCCGAAGGTCCCAGTTTCCTGATGGGTGCTCATGGCTGCGCTGCGAAAACTTTCTTTTCCGCAAATAGGTAGAGCCCACGTCGCGGTGGCTGCTTTGCTCCCGAGATTACGGCTGTCAGTGCCAGGCAGGGCTGACCGGTCTGTCGGTCTCTGTTAGCCCAGTTACTTCAGGTGTCGTAGAGGTGGCCCAGGCTGCTGAAGCAAGGCGCCTCTGCTCTATGAGGGTAGTGCTGGACGGGTGATGACATAAGCTGAGAATCCTTCTGAATCAGGAAGGGAGCTGTCCACCCACAAGGGTGTCTGTCTGATTGGGTAAGAGAGAGAGAGGCGTGTGTGAGCGCAGAGTTAGAAGGAGACTGGGGTTCAGAGGAACCGTCTGCTCTGCGCTATTGGGCGGTCTCTCTAGGCTCCACTGAGGCTGGGCTCTTCACTTGCCAGCTTGCTGGATGTCAACGAACAGAAGTGGAATTTATAGACTCTGGAGGCTTGAATGCCGGGTGTTGGGTTGGTGGCCACTGTGGGAAGACCTACTTCCTTGAACTTTCCCTGGCTAACCACAAGGAAATGAAAGTTTTGGCCACTCAATTAGGGAAGTAGGATATGCACATTTAAATGAGAGGAAAAGAAGGTAGGTCCAAGACTTATGTCCTACCTATGCTACCACCTACATTATGGGGAAAATAAACCCCAGTCGCCCGGTTTTTATTAAGGCCCCACCTGTCAGGCCTACCTTTGATCCAAATTACAAAATAGACAATGTGTGTAATTGGATTAGGGTTACAGTAGTTCAAATATTGCTTAATTTCCAAAGAATCGGTTTACAATCTTGTCAGAAACTCATCTAATACCGACTGAGGTCAAAACCCATTAAGACAAATTATGATGAATACATTCAACAAATAATGACTAAGAGTGGGGGGGGGGAAAGAAGGGGAAAAATAAAGTAAAAAGTGCAGGGCAGAGAACAAAAGAAAACCTGCAAGGTAGCAAAGAAAATCTGGGCAGCTTTGAAAACAATGTGTAGTATTTACTATATAGGTTTTCTTGAAAAGGAAATTTATTGTTTTATACTGAATCTTCTCTCATGTTCTGCTCTGTATATGGCATTTTTTTCTTTTTTTCTATTGAATTTAAAATAAATTTTAAAATTTACAAAAAATGACTAAGCATCTAGTCTGTGCTCAGACTGGGGCTGATTCCATTTCTTCCTCACCTCCATCTCTTGGAATCTTTGATTTCTTCAATACTCTGTTGAATCTCCATCTTCTTCATAAAGTCTTATCTGATTTCCCTCCCCACCTCCAGCTTCCAGTTCATTCCCTCCCAAAACTAGCTTGTATTCATTTTGTAAATATTATGTCTACATTTCTATATGTAAGTTTCCCCTATTCAAATATAAACTCCTTCAGGGCAGGGACTAATTCACTTTTGTCTTTGTATTTTCCATACTCATATACATTTTTTGGGGTGTCTAGAGAATGATAAATACTTAATAGAAGCTTTTAGTTTGGTCTGATTTCTACTGTGCAACCACAATGTGTTTTTCCCTGCCCACAGATCATCAGCTGGGATCCCAACAGAAAGAGACTGATGGTTGCATTTGCTGACATTGATTTCTAAACTAACGTCAAGTGGATCAATGAAGATCCTAAGGACAAATATGCACTGTCTGACAAATAGTCAGTGTTTAGTAAATGTTTGTTGATGAACTGATTGACATAGGTGAATAACACACAGAAATATGGGGAAACCTGCAAAAAATAGTTATTAGGAATACTCTAGCAGTGAGATGGTGCATTGGATAGAGTACTGGAATCAGGAAGACTTGAGTTCAAATTTTGTCTCAGAAATTTTCTGGATGTGTAACCCCAGACAAGTCACTTAAAATCTGTTTGCCTCAGTTTCCACAATTGTAAAATGGAGATGATAATAGCATCTACCTCCCAAGGTTGTTGTAAAGAGCAAATGAGATAATATTTTTAAAGTGCTTAGAATCTGGCACATAGTAATAGGCACTTAATAAATGCTTGTTCATTCCTATACCTACCCATAATGATGTAAAATGCACATTGATATTTGAATTGCATAAGTACTGGATGACCATTTGTCAGCAATACTGTAGAAGACACAAGATCATGGATTTCAAGTCATTAAAGATTATCCAGTCCTACTCTCTCACTTCACAGAAGGGGAAATAGAGGCTCACAAAGGTTAAGACAATTGCCCAAGAGCCCACAGGGTCAGAACAGAGATTTGAACAGATGCTTTCTGATTCTAAGTCCATCTTTCTTCCCCCTATTGTATGCCCTCTTCCCTAATATTCTGGGTAGTCAGCCAATAAACATTTAATAAGCACCTACTATGTGCTAGGCACTGCGATAAGTGCTGCATCAGGTAGTTAGAACAAATGACCTCTGAAATCCCTTCTGACTCTGAGATTGTCTGCTCTTGTGAAATTGGACCTTAGAGTAACTATTTGTGCAGAAAAATCACCTTTCTTTTCAAAGCTGAGGGGGATGGAAGTTACTTGTGGTGGGGAAAATACAGAAATAAATGGTGTTTTGGGGTGGTTGAAACTGAATTCTTTAAAATCCTCAGTCTTTACTTCTGCTGGTTAAGACTGATCTCTTCACTAATACTGACATCAGAAACCAGGATGTGGATTTCTGCACTGGAAATTACCATGTTGTGATGGAAATGATTTCATTATAGTTTGAAGATGTCAGATACAACTGGGCAGTGTGAGTTAAGTTTAGAATGGGAAGGGCTTGGGGTGGAAAGTGGGATGTTGTACTTATGAGTATTCAGTAGTGTATACCCAAGAGCTCTCATCTCTGAAACTGTCTATGAGCCTTCCACCTCCTCCAATGTCTTTTCTCTAGACAAGGTAGATTTCCTCTGGTGCCTACTTACAGTGGCAGATTTCTGGTTATTTTGATAGACTGATGGATCTATAATCTCACAATGTGGGTACTCCCTCCAGTGTTTCAGACTCAAACATTCCTGCCCATCCAGAGGGACATTTGTTCATATCCTCAAATCCTTCATGGAAAAACTACCTAACCTGCCTAGAGAACCTATGTTTACATCTCTTGACACTTGGGGAATTCCAGAAGACCTCAAGAGTTCTCCACAAGTTATTCTCCTCTTCCTGGTAGATGACTCAACCATCCTATTTTTTTTATCACTTTCACTTTTTCATTTATGATTTTTTTTCCCTCACTTTTTCCACAGACACCTTCCTTTAACCACTTCCCTGACATCATTCCTTGGTAATACATCAATGCCTGCTCACTCCCATCACGTGTCTTCCCATTATCCTTTAGGGAATTCACAACCTTATTTCTTTAGAGACTGTGGTAAGCCTCGACTCACCCACCATTTTGGTAACTCCATAAAAAGACACGATTTTTGTCATTAAGGGCACAATTATCCTTTAGTAAAAGTGACATTTATTTCTGTGTGGTTGAAGACTGGAGAATCACTGGCTTTCTAGGGGAAGGAGAAAATGTCTCCTTGAGGGAAAAAATACATTAAACTAGTCACATGTAGCATTTAATTCTGAAGAAAGCAGAGGGAGAGGGATGTAATGTTCTAAAGCTTTTCATAATTTCTATTACATTGTGTTTATTTCCACTTTGGTTTCCTTGTTTTAGGATTGGCAGGCGAACAAATGTTTCCCAGAAATTTGAAGTCAGTCACATGAAGCATAATGTCTGAGCCTTGATTTCATTCTAGTCCGAACTCTCTGTGGGTCTTTCTCCTCTTGACTTTCTTCCTTTCTTTTTAATTTTTATTTATTTGTTTGTTTGTTTTCCAACACTCACTTTTATAAGATTTTGAGTTTCAAATGTTTTTCTCCCTCCCTTCCTCTCCCCTGCCCACCAAGATGGCAAGCAATCTGATATAGGCTGTACATGTACAATCATATTAAACATTTCCATATAATTGACTTTCTTCTTATGTGAAATAGTGACAATCCTCTGTGATAATGAGAGACTCAATCATTTCTGTTAGAAAGATTAGGTTGAGTACTTTTTTACACCAAGGATAATCTGATGAAAATCCACATTTCATCTTCCATCTCTGTTCCTCCGCATTGGCTGTGCCCCATGACTAGAATCTGTTTCCTCCTCATCTAAGATTGAATTTCCTTCAAAACTCAGCTCAATTACTCCCTCCTCCATGAGGTCTTTTCTGATCCCCTCTAGCTGCTAGTGCCTTTCCCTACAAATTACCTTGTATTAATTTTGTATATATTTTGCATATGGGAGGCAAATGGATAAAGCTGGCCTCAAAGTCAAGGAGATCTATGGATGAGTAGCATCTTTGATGCAAGCAGGCAAGCAGGCAATGCCAGTCAAATTGCTTAACCTCTTGGTGCTCTAGGTAATTATTAACACTAGAGAAGGTGCCAACATGCAATAATAGAGAGAATCTTCTTATCCACAAATTCACCTGAATATACTATTGGAATCCCTCTCCTTCTGCCTGTATTTTACACATACTTATAATGTACAAGTGTTTTTCTTCTAGACTCTAAACATCCTGAAAGGGAATATTTTATTTTTGTCTTTGTATATATATTTTTCTTTGCACCTGGTATTTAATAATCACTTAAGCAAGTGTTTATTGTTGGGTTACATGCCCTACTACTAGGCAGGAGACTCTTGGTAAAGAGCACATCACAATATTTTGCTACCACATTAAGCAAAAACCACCCTTAAGCCTGCTCGTGTCACAGAAGAAATGCAGGCACGTTTTACTTGAATCAACTCTGAAATATGAAAACCCAGATTCATAAAGTCAACTTGAGAGTGATTATTTGCTCTTTGGTATAATTCTTTTTACCTTAGAAAGGTCATTTGTCAAAGAATCTATTTAAGCTGGAAGTTCCCCCAAAGACACGAAAACTATTGAGATAACAAAAACTTTTTTAAAGATAATCTTGTAGAGTGAAGCTAAATACTGATCATAACTGGCAACTAAGTAATAGGTGTTTCTGCTTTTTCTTTTAAATTTTATTATTTTATTTTGAACCTAAACAACAAAATAAAAGTATTACATGCAAAAAGAGGATTCTATATGAAACTGTGAATCTACATTTCATATCACTTTCTTTTTCCAAAGACACATATAACAATTTCTACAAGTTACTTTCAAAGCTGTCCTTCTGGTCTGTGATTCCTTCTGTTCTCTTCTGTGAAATTTTTAAAAGTATTAAAATGGCCCTCTTTTTTTTTTGGCATTACTATTGCTAACTCTATCATCCCTTCTGATTCCTCCCCCCACCTCCCATAACCCTCATAACATATAAAAACAGTATAGTAAAATGAATCCAAAGAGTGGCCATGTCCACAAATATACATCTCTGTACTTCATGTCTAACACGTCTCTGTCAAGAATTGATAATATGCCTCA